CTCTGCCTTCTAAAAGAGCCACAAGCTTTAGAGAGTCACTAATGTAGGTGCACCTAATTACCTTTTGCAGACCCGTTCTAGTTGCTTCTTACCCTAGCCCCACAAAAGAAAAAAAAAAATCAACATGTAACAAAATTCCAATATCCAAGATTTCAGCATCGGATGAAAAATGAAAAAAAAAAGGGGCAGAACTCATAAACCAGAAGGGAAAGCAGCAGCAAGAAAAGGGGGATGCCAGTTTTGTGGTGGGTAGCAAGGGGTAGAGATGCTTGGAAAACCTCCCTTGTCAGTACAATGTAGGTACACAACTACTGAATGCCTCTTCCAATTTCTATACCAAGGCATCAAGTTGGTACTATGGGGCTGCTGTACTTGGGGAAAAAGGCTAAAATTAAGGGTTGGCATCCCAGAGAGGCCATTTCGGTCTCTAGACTATAGCTACAAAACTTATTCTGCCTTTTTTGGGGGCCCCAGGGCATTCTTGTTATCTCCTCCTACCTCTTTATTTGGCCATCCAGGAAAGAAAAACAGATCACCTAACTCAGTTACTGAATGGCTCTGGAGACTCCATAGACAGAGGTAGCAAGTATTAAGGGCATAATATAAATGAGTAAAATTTTAAATAACCATAGGCACTACCAGGGAAAACAGTATCTTTTCAGCAGAATCCCCTCTCCTTGCAAATCCAGCAAAGCCCCATCATACAGAGGGTTGATTAAGCCACCTCTATGCTAGTCACAAGAGCACTGGGGAGGAATGTGACTTATCACATTGATAAGGCTGCTGCCTTATCACTTCCAGAAAAACAAGCCAGATCCTGCATCCTAGTGAAAAGGGCCATGATGGAGTAGGATGTGCCAAGATGCAGGGGCAGGGCCTCTGCTGGCCACCCTCTCTTCACTTACTGATGGTAGGAGGTCGGGGAGAGCACTAGAGGACAAGGAAAGAAGGCACCAAACTAACAGAGTGCAGACTGCTGACACCGCCAGAGTGGAGCATTTTATCTCCTGCCAATTGCCCCCAAAAGCCCGGCACACTTGCTAGGGACAAACTCTGGAGACACAAGAAAGGAAAAAATTCTAAAGAGAACTTTTTTTGTTGCAGCTCTGCAAATAGAATGGATATTAACAGTGTGCTAAACTATATCTGGTTTCAAAGGGCAGCAGAGAGCCCCCTCCTAACCCAATGATATGAGAAGATTTAGAAAAATATGAAGTCCAAGCATTCTAGATGAAGGAAGGACATAAAGGAAAGAAAGACAAGAAAGATTCATTAAGGGATGAAAAAAAAAGTCTCAATATGTCCATCTTAGAGATGGCTAAATTCACATCCATAGAACTTTGGGCATTAAAACTGCATTGCAGTGCTTAAAAAAAAAACAAATAAATAAAAAAGGGAATGCAATAATGGCTTTTAAAAGGAAACAAAAGCAAGATCTATCTGGGGGCTGTGAGGGCGAAAGAATAGCAAAGGGCACCGTCTCAGAGGTGGCCAGGTGGGAGCCTACAGCTTTCAGTAGGCTGACTTCTTCAGAGCTCTGGATTAAGGCTGAGTTCTACTTAGCAAGCGCAAGGAGCGCTATAAGGACAGTGTTTGGGAACCACATCTCATATTAATTCCCTGCTGGTACACGGTGTCAGTCATTTACACTGCAGTCGAAAACCACAGCTCCTCCTGCTATGCAGCAATGCTTACGCTGATGGGATTGGAGCACCAATCATCAAGACTGTCACAGGAAAGGGAGTTTTGGTTCTGCTGCAGTTTCTTCTTACTCAGAAATTCTTTTTTCAAAAAATTAATATATTTTGGAGACTACTAAAATAAACAAGAAATATTCTTTAATTACTTTACATTGTTTAAATGGAATTTGACAAGATGTTTCTTTGCTAACAAGACCTGTGATTCCACATGCTCTCTAAAACCTTAATTAAATTTAGAAACATTTTGACTTTACACTGTCAGGGCTGAGGAATACTGCAGAATGCACCACTCACCACTGTCACCCCAGGTACAGAAAACATGAAACACTGCTTAGCTGGTGTGACAAATACATGCAACAGAAAGAGAGAGGGCAGGATCATTTTTTCTTTCCTCAAAAAGAAAATGCCTGAAACTGACAAGGAGCTAAAATTCTTTCACTCAGTCTAGTCTTACAAAGAAGAAGGGGTGACCCTCCACTGTGGGACCCCTCATACCTACAGTAAAATGTGTGATCTGCTGGAAAACACTTCAGAATATTTGGCTTCGTACCATCTCACAGCAGATAAATATGACAACCTTGCCCAGCCCAAGAGATAAGCACCATATCACCTTTCACACCAAGCCCACACAGCAGACCTAAAAGCACAGCTTGCAGGATAGATCATTATCTGTAAGTGTTTGTTTATAAATGATAAATTTATAAGTGCATATCACCTGCAATATAAGTCTAAGAAGACTCCAAGCACATCTCATTCCCGGCACAGCTCAAAAGGAACACCTCCATGTAGCTAAGGAAAGACAGACTGCTGAAAACTCAACCCATTAGGTCAATCACCAGCAAGCCTACAAACAGAAAGAATGGAGATGGATATAGATAGTGGTATGACACAGCACAGGGTTGGGAGTCAAGTGGTCTGGATTTATGGCAAAACCAACTGCTTTTCAATGTATGACCTTGAAAAAGTTATTTAACTGCAGTAAATCTGTTTTAATTAACTATAGGATGAGCTGGATTGTTTTACATAAACTCTAAGGTCAGCTCCATAAATCCCAAGTCCAGAAGAGATGGAAACAGGTGAGAAATTGGCAATACCATTACTATTATGATTACAGTTCACTTGCAAAATAATCTACATCTCGAGCCACAAGAGAAATACAATAAACTATGTTTCTAAGGCGTATATATATATATAAATTAAATTAAACCCAAGAAACAACATATGTGTATACAAATGCCAGGTTCATTTTGCCATAAAAATGTATATAGTTCTTCATTTTCTAAAACTCCAAAGTGGAAGAAGTTTCTATACTATCAAAGAAGAAAGCACAAAGCAAGGAATTTCAGTGTTAATATAATTTCTTCAATACAACAGTCAAAGCCATCTAGATAAACTCCAAATTCAGTCAAGGAAATATCATGACTTCTATCTTCTAATAATAAAAAGTAACTGTAAATTGGCAGGGCAGTGCTACTAAAGCCGTCTTCAAACTCAACTGAAGGAAAAGAACTCAAGCGGTCCACTTCTTATCACAGTGCTCCTGGTGACGCCATTTTACCCCTTTCTCACTGCCATCTTAGTGCCACAAAACAATTCCTAGCGGGCTGGCTGACATGCTTGCTTATCTACATTATGGTACTGCCACAGCACTCAAAGGTTTAATAAGAAGGTATTTTCTGCTGCAACAAAAACCAGCCCCTGAATCTTTTGAAATTTTAGGTAAACTAAAATTTCATGAGAAAACCAAAGAGTTTCTAGAATGAAGAGAATCTGGAATCTCCTACAATTATCAGGAAGGACAGCCTCTTCCAGCAACCAAACTTGAGTAGACCATGGTGGAGGCAAAGAAAATAGGAAGCAAATGGGTCTCTGCTATGTCTTCAGGGTACCTAAAAAGGTACTCAGGACACAGCTTCTTACAAAGCCAGCAACAGAAAATAATATCAGGCTCTTCAACTGCTTTAAAAATTTCAAAGGAAGGCTTTGTAACACTCCTATGCCATCCAGCCAAACATTTTATATGTAAGCAAAGCTGCAGTTAAAAGAGTTCTAATTTACTACCTAAAACTCTTTTAAGGTGCAAGCTTTGTTAAAAATCAAGGGAAAAGAATTCCTTTGTACTCTACCATATACTTAAACAAATAATATATTAAATATGCCCCCTACGGTAAAAAATTACATTGAAACCTAAGCTTTTATGCTGCAAGCTAATATTAGTACCATGGTTATACTGAATCTTGTAAAATTCTAACCCAAGGCTTATGAAAACTGAATCTTCCTATTGTCAGAGAAAGGGCTGATATGAAGAAAACTGTTCTTTCTCTAGTTATAAACACCCATTAATTACAGAAAACAGCTTTCAGTAACCAGGATGAACAGCACCTAGTGCAAGACCTAGAATAGTTGGCAATATAAATTTGATATCAAGTTAAAGGATTCTCAGATACCAGTTCTGTGAACATTCAACTCCTAAAACAGCCTCTAATTTTGAGCCAATTCTTCAAGGTACAAATTACTGTTGAATGCACTTACTATAAATCCTTCGGGGTTTAAAAGATAAAAAATTCTTCAGCCTTTAAAAGATAAACATACAAATTAAAGTTAAAATTAACTTGTTTCCTCTTAATAACAGTAGAAAGGAACAATGAAATAAGCCAGGTCAAATTCAACTAATTTTAAGAATCAAAATTTATAAGCTTACAATTACAAACAAGAGTTTAATATGAATAGCTTTGAAGTCACAACTATTAATTAAGCAGAAGGCACTAAAAATTATCCTCATGAGTGAGAGCGAAAGCCTCAATCTATTGATCTTTGAAGACAAAAATCCTATTTTGTTAAAACATTTTTAATGTATTTTAATCAGCAATTATAGGTCATTAACAACAGCATTTTCTTAACAACAACAGACAGCATTACAACTCAGCAATTGTTTTTGGAATGGAAAATATATTCTTTTTTATAAAAGACAGTGAAAACAAGCTTCAACTCTTAAATTTACCATTCAGATTTCTTTTTTCTCTCAAGTGTCATTTCCATCTGACTAGTGATATATTTATACCTCTCATTAACTTCAATTATTAATGAATAATTAATTTAAATCATTTGCTAAAATTACTCATAAAGCTCAAGAATATATAGATCACATCTGGTTCTTAACATACACCTTAAAAAAAATACATCCAAGAATCTCTGGGCAACACCTTTCATATTTGCAGAAGCATTTATTTAAAAGTCTATTTTGCCCATTCAACCAAAAACAAATTTTCAACGTCTCACCGCTATATGAGAAATACTTACTGTAGACAAAAGGATTCCATTTTCTTTCTGGGAATGTTCTCCACCCTCCTACAGAACTCTTCTGTACAGTGTGCAAATTCATTTTCTTAGTTTTATAGTAACAAAGCTCCTGTACCACAGACCCTAATGTAAATGAAATGGCCCTGCAGCTGCCTTAAGAATGCAGTTCACCTCGACTATGATACAGCTAATTGTTAAAAATGGTGGCTGAGACATTTTCCATACATTAAATTAAGGAGCTCTGATGAAGGCGCTGGCATCCACCCACTTCAGACAAAGGAAAATAATTTGCAACTGTACCAAGGCACGGATAATTGAGTCATCTCCCATACAGGGTCAGTGTTAGAGATTTCCTCCATCTTTACAAAATGCAAACCACAGCTCATTGTCTCATCTCAGAAATCAATTCTTTGCAGTGCTGCACTGGGTCAGAGTTTTAAAGAAATCTTAAGTCATGGGCAAATCCAGACTTCTAGCACTGAGAGAAGCCAAATTCTCACAGTTGCTCTCCCTTCCTTGAGCAGCTCTCCATTCCCCACTTGACAGCTCCTCAAGCCTTCCTATTGTTAAGAGTAAAGAAAAGTCCTACACCTCTGAAGGGAACTGCTAAATCCCTAGGTGAGCAATTTCCAAGTCTGAGCTTCTGAAAGAGATCCAAACCTTACAGGTCCCACAATACAAATACAATGCCTTGGAATAAAAAACTGAATATATCATTTTCTCTCTGTCTCTCTCTCTCTCTGTCTGTCTCTCTCTCTCTCTCTCTCTCTCTCATAGTGTTTTTTTAAAGGGAAGACAACAAGTCACTTTTTAATGCTGAAAAACATTTTTCTCTGATATTAAGGTATTAAAAGTATTATAGGCAATATTATAATTTTATTCCTTTCCAAATAATGTTTACACGACTTAGGAGGTTTTCATTTCACTTACACAAATTACAAAAATCTAAGCTATATTTTTAAAACTCACACTCAATTGAGGCTGAATTTAAGAAATAAAAAGTACCTTAAACTGCCAACTAATGATAAGACTTAAGAATTAACTTCTCTACTATTTCATTCTTAAAGCCTAACGCTAAAACACTTCCTGTGAGAAATTCCAAATATTTCTAATTTTCTCCTAATCACCAAATACAAGTAACTAGATTCCTCAGTAAGGTATCCTACACACACACACACACACACACACACACATGCACGCACACACACAAACGCACACATATAGTAACTCACCTACAATCCAAAAGAATTGGTTTTAGCAAAAAAGAAATTCCATTTTCATATTTCACATCATAGAAGAATTCTGCACTTCACATCTCTTAAAAATCCTCAAGAAAGTCCATATACTCCCTGCTACTTAAAGATGAAGTCTGAAAAAATCCTAAATAATCAATTATTTAAAGCTTTAGGCAAATACCTCTCTGCCACACCCAACAGATTCTTTTAAAGAAAAACATTACAATGGCAAGACACAATTATGAAGAAGTCTCTGAAGAATCAAGTACTTTTCCCATCAAATGAGTTCACTGCTTCCAAATGTAACTCAAAAATTTAAACAAATAAAGACCTTGTCTTTCACAGGTACTGCAACATGCGGTCACTCTATTTACCAGGGTGAATGTGTTTTTACAAAACACAGGCAATCCTACCTGCAGCTCTCAAATTTAAGGAGTTGCAGACCAGTTGATGCTGTCAGTCACTGCAGCTCTTCTGTATCTTCTTATGTGGGAAGAGCACTGTCAAACCAGCGCACAAGTTTTTCCCACCCTAAATTGTTGGAATTGAGGGGTGGCAATAGGAGAAGGGAGAGGAATAGCAAGTGAGAAAGGAGAGAAAGAGAAGAAGAAAAACCAAAGAGAAAAGAACAACCCCTCTGCGAGTGCTGATATGACTGAAGCACTAAAGAGTCCAATTAGACAATGAGATTGCAGGGCCCTCTTAAAAAGGGTGTACTGCGGCCCCCAGAGCAGAGTATCATCCTCAGAGGTGCTCTATGCAAATTCAGAGAAGTCAGCTATCAGTTTGAAAGCGCAAACTGATGGGAGTAACAGTTTATAGGTTACAGAAGGGTATTTTATTGTTAACGGAATGTACCAACTTAAGATTTAAGAGGGGGAGAGACAACATGTAGGGAAGAAATGCTATGATACTCCCCCCCGCCACCAAAGCTATTGCAATTACTCTGATGTGAATTTTTGATGACTTCCGACATCTTGCATGGTTAATAATCGCTTCAGCTGTCATGTTTGGTTAACGTGGAAAATGCATTTGCTGCATTGTGATGCAGTGCTGTGGCCACAGATTGTAACACCAGTTGTGAAGCTGGTCCCTTAACTGAGCAGCAGGAATTTGTACATGCCATGATGCTAAAATAAATGATAGTTAAAAGATCTGATACAGCAGCAGATAGATTGTGCCATTTTATTCTACAGAACGTATAGATCCAACACACAGCAGCATCTCAAGATCACTGTGCCCTTGTCAATTGTACTGTCCTTCAAACAAAGCAGTAAATTCACCATCTTAAACGTTTAGCTTCTTAGTAGTTAAAAGATTTTGATACTATTTAAATAACTTCAGATTAATTACAGCTTTGAAGAGAACAGAGGTTATTTGCATTTCAGGAATATACAGCCAATGAAACTGTCAGTGACACAGGAAAATGCAGACCTTCTATTAACATATGCTCAGCTCAACTGTCACTTCTTTGTACAACATTTAGGGGGAAATACATGATGTACAAGTAATGAATATTCTTATTCTATCGTAATGGTTTTAAAAGTGGCCCATCAGAAAGGGATTCTTTTCCCTGCATGATTTAATGTATAACATGAACATTAAAGATTTACATTATAAAATACTGGCATGCTTTTAATTGTCACAAAAAATTCAATATAGCAAACAACTGTGCAATTATTGGGAAACTTGTAAAAAAAAAGCAAAGATAAAACCATACTAAGACCTCAGCACCAGATGATGAAAGCAAGGCCAGTCAGGTAGGGGCCACCATTACAGAGCAGATTGCAAAAGAAGGATCAAGAGAAAGACCATTCTTTCTTCACAAACCAAATCTGCAGTATCAAATCTGTTGGTTGAAATCCAACCCCTATTTCTACAGAACCTGAAAGATACATAACACTGTCCAATTTCAAAACATATTTTTATATAATAATAACATCTAGAATTTGGCTATTTAAGAATTGTTTCATCTACTGTCATCATTTTTAAGAAGCAGAAACAAGTTAAGGACTTTGTTGCTTTAAAAGAAAAACAATTCTTATAATTAATTTATACTTTTTACATCAGAATTTTTGCCAATTAAATGCCCAGAGATATTTTCTACATTTCTGACTTATAAAAACAAACAAACAAAAACAAACAAAAACTTCAACTAAACCAAAAGGAATGAACACAGGAATTTGCTGGTGCCTGAACAGTAACAATGAAAGAACTTATGTTACTAACATAAAAATCAACTCATGAATTCCTTTGTTTTATTCACTGTGATATCATCCAGTGCATAATGTGGAGGTTCATGTGTTAACAAATGCTGTAAGGCTGAAGAGCTTTCCAGTTTTGTTTCTTACCCAAACTTAAAATTAACTGCACCAACAGTGCTATTTGGTGCCATACCAGATGTCACAGGAGTTGTGAACATTCAACAATTCAAGCTTTTTTTGTTGTTTCAGACCCAACACAAGGTACCACCAATAGCTTAGAAACTGAACAAGGAAGGAAGGGAGGGAATGTATGTTGAGGGTAAGCTTTGAAATTAACCAGGCTCAGCTTATGCTCCAATTACTGAACAAAAGACAATCCTGGGGGACCTCGCTCTGAATCACTGTAAGAAACAAACTCTTTTGTTTCTGATTTAAAAAAAAATACTGTATTGGAGCATAGTGGATATGCAGCAATAGGAGTCTCTGCCTGGGGAAGGAAGGGACAAGAAAAAAGAACCTGAAGACCCAGACGTGGTTACAGTCAAACCACATGACTGACGTAAAATCTGTTCCTGAGGGAGCTACGTTTCACAATAGGGGAGAGAAAAACTTTATTTAATTTTTAAAAATAACCTCCCTAAGTTTGTTAAGATTTTTTTTCTTTTTTAGTAATGCCACCAAATAGATTAGGGTATTTCTTTATGTCACAATAAATCTTAAACCAGTTCGGCTTCCTTCTCCCCCCATTCTCCAGGAAACAGGCTGGGTATGGGGTTGCATAATATTCTGGCTGCAAAGGAGCGGAAGGGATTAACCTGTCTCTGGACCAGGTGCCTGAATGAAGAGGTCCTAAAAACAACCGAGGTATTTCTCTACTTGTTTTGTCACTAACTGAACATAAAGTGATCCATTCTTAAATGTCTTTTAGGCAGCCCCCTGTTTAATTTTGCGTGTTAACCTTACACAGGCCTAAGCATCAAAAATTAAAGCAAATAGAATAAGGTAGAAAAGTTTTTATTAATATAAGGGATTACACAAATGCAGACTTTATAGAATAGAAAATAGAATACACTGAAATTCTATGGTTTAAGTGGAACTGGAACAATTGCCAGGTAAAGTCATATTCAAGTAAACAAATGGAAAGCTCTACAAGTACACTAGGCATACACGGGACTTTACCCAGAAATCATAATTTTACAGATCCATAGTGGGCTCTGTTCACCTGCGAGGTTCACTGGGCTGCTGGGAAAAACAAGTAATATTACTGGTAGGTATGCACTTTTAGGGTAAAGAATGAGAGGCCAAGGGAGGTTGGGTGATTACTGCCCACCCTCAATGCCCCCAGCTTTGCAAAGCACAGCTGGGTCCTAGTTCCCTTTCTAATCAACCATAACCCATCTACTCCTGGCTCTTCTTTCCTCCTACACCTTGGTTCCCTGCACCATGCCATACATTTCCCCTTCCACACATTCATTTCACTGCCACAACTCTTGCCTTTAGGCCAGTGTCTCTAGGAAATTCTATTAGAGCTGTTTTCTGAGCAGTGCTTCTTAATCTAAATGTAAATGTTTTGGAGGGGGATTTCTATAGTGAAGTTTTGCCAAAACAGCAAAAGCTGAGTGAAATCTCAACTCTCAATCTAGTTAATCTCTCCAGTTTCTCAGCCTGGACCAAAAGTACCAATCCTTCTCCTTGCTCCCAAACCTCAGGTTATTTCTGAACATTCTGAAGCCCATCAAATACCAAGTGTAGAAGATGTATTACTCTAAATGTTTCTCACACATCTTTTCCTCCTTGTCCTGGCTACCTCCCTGGTCTTAGCCATCATCCACCTTTTGACTTATTACAATTGCTTCTGAAGAACAGGTCAGCAGGTAGCTTTCTACTGGCCAAGCCAACTTCTATAAGCATTACCATACCCTTTCTCCTTTTTTCTTAACATTTACCTGCTCCCAAACTTTCAACTGTACCTGCTATCCACACTCCTTTATTTGGCAATCTCCCTGTCCCCATCTGACACTGCCTCCCTTACAGACTGACTTCTTAGGATATAACTTCTGGTCTCAGTTCACTGGCTTTGGTCAGGTCACTACTCCCCCATCCTTCTGCAAGCATTTTTCAAGGCCCATTCAGGTCCCAACCTTTCCAGGAGGTCTTTTCCAACCTTCCCTCCTCTGAACTTTCA